CAATAAAACTGTTTTTTTCTTTTATATTGAGAAAAATGAGTTTTATTTAGAAAATCAAGGATTTTCTAAAAAATCTATAGCTCAATTGCAAAATCCTAGCGTCAACACTAATTCAATGTGATGAGTAAAGAGACGTTCTGTAGAAGTTTCATCCGCTTTGGAGTCGTTGAAAATGATCCAAGCTCATTGTACTGAACACATGTTTCCATTAAAGTAGAATAACTTTTCTCGAGTTACAAGCAAATTATCTCTAACGTTTATTTAACGAATCACGAGAGTAGAAGACATTGTTTCAGATTATATACAATTTTTTCAAGGATGTTTTTTCCCCGAATGGTTTTTATTCATAGTAAAAAAAAAGTGGCACCTAATCCCTATTAATAGCGCTTTCCGATGAAATTTGCTTTGCGTTTTTCGATTAATACAAACAAGAGGAACAAAGACTTTTATGTCATTAAATAACTTACAAGTCAGGTTATGCTGCCCTACTTAAGCCATTATAAAAGGTATACTTTCAGTCTATTGCCTAACTTTCCATCTGGATGTTTACAGTGTCACATTAGGAAGAAATTTACTGCTCATAATGAATCTTCGATAGACAAAAATCTTGATATTCATGTAGTGCGAAAATTATTTAAATTTTTATTACTAATGATGATAAAATTAAATGAAAATTTCTTTCTTTTTCTTTTAGTGGAAATATTTGTTACCAATTGTTGTCATTGTACTTCTTCAAAATGTTTTTACTAACGATGCTGGTGGTGGCCAGGCTGCTAGTGGACAATAAGTGTCATCATTCCTTTAGTTTCTTTTTTTCTTTTTTGTTATGAATTTCGATACTCATTTATGTTTGTTTGTCTTGTCTTCGGTTAATGTTCCTTTTTTTTCTTCTTTTTTACGCAAACATGATAGAACTCTTGAGACATTGTTCAGTAATGTATGCACAATGAATGAAGTGAAGTGTTCATGGTCAATTAACCGACAAAATATTCGTTCATCAATGTCAGTCGATTTCTAATGGTTTCTTTACTTAAATACACAAGTGCTATATTTTCTCATTGAAAAGAAAGAAACAAAAAAAAAAGAGTTCAATCAATTTTCTTAAATTGATTGACATCATCGATTCGTTAGTTATGCATGTGAAACAAAAACTACATTAGTGTTTTTTATAACTTACTTTTTTTGTTAATGCAAAATTAATTGATAGATACATATTTTCCATTGAACTAACGTAAGTATGATGGAATAGTATAGTAGTCTTTTTTTTTGACAATTGCCTGTTATTCAAGGATAGATAAAGTCTATATTACATCAGTTAGAATCAAATATTGATCCAATATATGATTGAGTAGGATATTTAATTTTAAAAGTAACAATTGTCATTTTATAAAAATCTCACCTCATTGAATGTTATATTTATCTTACAAATTGTCGGACAAATATTATACACAGTAGTAGCTTTCTATTACTTTTTCAAAACTCTAATGAATATACGCATTTGTAACTATCAACTGTTGTTATATGCAAAACGAGCCGTTCTGTTAAATATTAACTGAACCTTGATCGATTAACAATAATGACACCGTTCTACGCACAGTATTGCTAACATAACACTTCTTTCAATTGGTAGGATACGATATATTTTTTTTGGTGGTGTGATATCACTACGTTGGTGTATGTGTGAGTGTTGACAAGAATATCCCACTTCTTTTTTACATTACTAATGGTATTGCTGACACAACTATCATCACTTCACATTTTCGTGAATGACCTATCTGGTTCAACATACATAAAATATAAGTCAAATATCGAACGATATATGATTTCATTTTAACACTTTTCGTTGCAAAGAAAAACGTCGATAGAAGATTTTCTAAACTTAATATTTTACATTGGTTTTCTTTTTTTCTTTTTAATATTATACACATTTGCTCTTTTCAAGAGTCTTTTTTCATAGAATACAAAAAAAAAGAAAGAGAATAGTTTGAGCTCTTTTCTTTCTTAAGTATTATATACAAAACATTGGCATTTCATGAGCATGTCTAATTCATACTTGAAATATGCTAGATGATGATAATGATATATGCGCAGTGCATTGAACAATTAAGATCATATTTTGTTACTTTTAAGTGTCTATCTGCTATTCATGTCAATTGAATGAACATCATTCAAGTTTTCTCATCATATTTAATACATACAAACGGAAGCAAAAGAAAAGAAAAGAAAAGAAAAGATAACGTCTTTTTAACCTTGAACAATCGATTATCAAGTAAATATACATAAATGCATTGTGCATTGAGAAAAACGATCAATTTTCTCACTTGCGTTTAAACATTCCTCATTTTTTTCTTTACACTATATACGGTATGTAAAATGAAAAGAATGATAGATAGTATCATAGAAAAAATTTTGCCATGAAATAAAACCGATAGATATCATACTATGTTCATTTCTGAATGTAATCAGAACTTCTCTGATATATTTATAAATAGTGGAGCAATTTTTTTTGCCTTAAACATATATTCTGCTTTTTGTCAGAGTTTTGTCATACAAGCATAGAATACATTTTTAATAATTGTATTTTTACACAAGAATGAACATACGATGACCCTTGAATTTATGTACTTGTATAACATACATGTGTATATGTATATATGTATATGTGTACATTATCAAAATCGACAGCCATTGATTCTACGACAAAAAAAAGGAGTAGGAAGACAGAAGCAGTACAAGAGAGGGAGGATATGTAGCTTTTGCAAGGTGGTAAGTGAAAAAGAGACAAAAAAAAACGAATAGGGAGTGTACGATAGAGAGATAGAGAATAACGAGAGAGGAAGTTTAGATAAAGAGGAAAAAAAGACGAACATAACTCATCCAACCAACAACATATACATGATTGTAGATTAGATTTGCGTGAAAATGTAAGTTATTAAGTATCTAGCTTTATTATACATGTGTTTTTCTTTTCATAATTATTTGATGAGATATGATACATCATTTTTCTAATTATCTATATTTGTAGCAAAAACATGATTGAGTTGACTTTTTGATAGATATTATAAAATGATAACCACAACAACAAGAACTATAGGTACGTAGAAAAGATATTTTGTTACATATTTGTTATCGAATATGATGACATTTTTTTATCCATTAATTATAAAAATGTTGATGTCAAGGTTTTAATGGTACCGATCAACAATGTACTAGTGTATTTCGTTATTCTTCATAAAGCATAAAAAAAAAGAAAAAGACTCATCGAAGGTCTTCTTTATTTTCAAGATCATCAAATCGAAAAGTAAGTAGTAAAGATACATAGAATCTATTTCTTTCTTTCTTTCTTTTTCAAATCATCATTATGATGACATGTCATTATCAAGCGTGTTACATCGTTCGTATCATCTTCTGATGATTGTGAAGGATGATAGGAGGGACTATTATACGTATATACACATTTTGAATGCGAGAAGACCTAAAGCGTTTTGATACAGATGTAATTTTGTCTACACGAGAGTGACACATATATTTGATGATGATGATCAGTGTGGCGTATGAAGAAAAAAAAGGAAAAGAGGGTGAAAGAGAGATGATAACCGATACGGTATGGCGAGACAAACGAGGCAAAAAGGTGACAGCTGCTATCACTTGCTTTCATTCAGATAGAATTTATCCATAGGTTACAATAATAATGTTTTAGATTTGATCAAAGTTGTTGTTACTGTTTGTTTCTCTAGGTAAGATCTTATTGGAATAATTTTGATAAATCGTTATAAAAATCTTGTCTTAAAGTTACATATCATTTTAACAACTTATCTTTTAATCATGCACGAAAAAAAAATAACATCTTTAATCAGTTTAATAGATTATCTTATTAAGTATTTTACCATAGGCTATTTCATTATCTTTTGACATTTTGAATTTTTACTCAATATATTAGATAAGACTTTCATTTAAACGCTGTTCCTATAAACTAAGCCTTGTTCTTTATCGTTTGCGTAATATATTTTCATCCTATCAATGTCAACCATTAGTTCCTATCAGTAGTATGATATGACCTCGGCTCAACACCATCATCTCTAATATTGTCTGAAGAACGAGAAAAACGATTGACTCTTTTGTTGAGAGTATACGTTATTATCTATTATCATACATACATTTACCTTCGACTATACAATAAAGAATTATTCTATTGTTCATTTTTCTTTTCCTCTTCTATGCATCGTTTGATTCCCTGGTAAGATATATTCATGTTGTTATTATTCTTTTTATGTTTCATAGTATATCTATGATCTTTATATATATATAATCATACGAAATCTAATATAATATAGATATATGTCTATAATCATTATCGTCATTTGAATATAAGTCAATTTTAGTTGTTGAACGTTTTTAATATATCCGTATATATTCTTTTCTGATATGATGATGATGCAATAATCATTAAAAGTAAGAGCGAAGAAAGAGAAAAATTCGATCATCAAATCAGATAATCGTTTTGCTTGTTGATCGATTTATTCATTGAACGTGACATTTTCATTTCTAGTTGTACATGTAATAGAAACAAAAAAAGACGAAAAAGAAGAAGTTCAGGTAAAAAAAAGGAAAAAAAAATAAATTTAACTTTCATGTGTATACTGACATATTTAAGGATTATGAACTACTCCTATGAAATATTTCTCTAAAAAAAAAGGAAGACAGTATGATTGATGCAACTGGATACCATATTTTATTAGAAAAATATTGCTGACGAGAAGAGGATTAACGTGAGAAATAGAAGAGAAGAATGTCTATACACCAGCTGCCTATCAAACATATATATTTGTCTTCAATTTGTCTCAGCTTTATTTTTAATGATTACATTATAAATATATATATTTTTTTGTGTTATTTCAGATACATACAATGCATAATTGCTTGTACACGGTTTTTTTTTTCAGCTTGTTTTTTGTTATCGATTTAAATATGTATGTCAATGTAAATAATATTCATTGTATATGATGATGATAATGATGATGCAAAAAATGTTTTATGATGAAAATAATCGATCATTGAACTATACAAAAATTGATCAATGTCAAGATAATAATTGTATTGATAATGATGATTATTATAGACAAATATTACATACAAATGAACATATTAATTATGAACAAGATATAAAGTTAAAAATTATATTAACAAATCGATTACGTTTAATTTTATTTATATTTTTAATATTAACACCTTCATCAAATGCTTTTCCTATTTTTCAATCATTACAAATGCCAAGTGAATATTAAATTATATGAATTTTATTTTTGTATTTTTCTTTTTTTTCTAGAAGACTCTATTCAACAATCTCCATCATCTTTACCTATTTCTATGGTTCAATTAACTGGTGGTTCTCGATATCTTCAACCATCATATAAAGTTTATCGACGTATTTCAAATCCAGTTCAACAACAATTGAAAAATATTCCGAGTTATTCGAATGGAGCTGTTGTAAACATTTATGATCAAACGAATTTTATTAATCAACACCAACAACACCAACAACAACCATCAATGATTGTTCGAAATTCTAATGAACAACAAGCACCATTACAATTAAAACGTGAACGACAACGTCGTGCAATGATTGATAGAATTGTTTCAATATTTGATGAAGATGGTTGGTTTTCTTTTATCTTTTTGTGTTTATTTTATATTTAAATTCTGACATAGGTGATGGACAACTAGAAAAAGATGAATTATATTCATTGGCATTACGTTCAAACATGTTTCCAAAATTTCATCAGTATCTCAAACAAACACCATCATAAATAATCGTGTTCAAATACAGTTTCATATATAAATATATATATATATCTACAAGTATTAAAAAAAGAAAAAAAACAAAACTTAATATACTACTGGATTTCTACGTAGCCCCTAAGTTGTGTACAGTGTGATTATCCTTTTTTGTTTTGTCTTTATTGTTGTTACGTCTTATCTTTTTTTGACATACTTGAATGAAGAGAAATATTAGGAATGTTCAACAAAATTTTATACTTATAAAAATAAGCAATAGTTTTCTTTCTTTTTATTTCACAGTTATACACATTGAACTTGAATATTACAAATTTGATTTGTTGTTGATGGTATTTGACATGAATAAGATGGAATAATTGTTTGAGAACATGAAGAACAACATGCATCCACATTGGAATAGTCTATACAATTTGGTGTCATATAAGTCGAATTATTACAACAATCAGTTGGACAACATATGTTACTAGTTGGCTGAGTCCAACATTGAAGTTCTTGAGGATCACATTGACTTGGAATTATAGAACAACTAAAAAAAAACGGTAATAGATGATCGGAAAGCTTTTAGATAAATGTGTTTGTTTATTTTTAATCCACTTGAAAGTATTGAAGGTTTTGATTAACAATGTTATTTTCAAATATGAGCTTAGTATCTATTTTTGTCGAACTTTTAGAAAGATCTAAAAAATTATCTTCATTTGCGAGTCAACAGGCTTTGGTTTAATCTCTATGTCCTTTTTCAGACACGCAAAAAATTGTCGAAGTCAGTTGTTTTGTTGCGCGAACATATTTGTAGACAATATGACATTGAATTAAGCTATGGCTTTCACTGAAACATTTCTTCAAGAGGTCGTTTCAACATAAAATGGTTATCGATTTTTTAAAAATGAATTTTTAGAAAAAAACGAAAATTTAGGTGTCCTGTAAAGCCTGTGAGATCTAAAATTTCCGGACTTATTTGAACCCTACTTTGATACTCTCAATGTTTATATTCGGTGACTAGTTTACCCTACACATATCTCAGACGACTAGAATCTATCGGACCATGGACTAATCCGATGGGCTCCAGTATCTTATCGAAAGACAAAATTTTCAATAGTACATTGTGTAGGATAGTTTCTAATATTCAAGCTAATATATAAATAAAGACCATTCGTTTTACTGTCGAATCGCAATAGTGAAAATACAAAAATGACCCGTCTAAATCAATGTTTTGAACTTTTCAAAAATGCTTCCACTATTCTCGAAGAAAGATCGAGATAAAATTTTTTAAGTTCGAGAAAAAACTCATAGCTTTTGATTCATCGAAAATACTTTCTAGAGAACATCAAGTAAACAAAAACCTTGCCTAGAAATTTTCTGATCATCCATTATTTAATATCAATTGAGAATATTCGAGGAAAAAAGAAACTGTCTGTTTTACTATTCAATTTTCTTACTCTTTTGTACGATTATTACATAATGATTGATATCTCGTTTTGTTATTATTATTATTATCATAGCATCGTATGAAAACACTTCTATCATAATTAATTGGTCGATGCTTCCGTGTTGATATCCAAGTATTATAATAAAAATTACCATAAGTCATATTTGTTGTTTTATATCTTTCTGATGGACAACAAATACAAGCAAAGCACATATGTGAGAAATTATTTCCACACGTAGGAGTATATATTGTTTTGTAAAGTTGTTGTAGTGGACGATAACAATTCGATGTACGATAATTATTTAACTTTTTATTTGTCCAGATGTTATTACAATTATTAGAAGAAACTATTCTACTACATGGATCAGTATAATTACATATTGGTAAACAATTATTAGTAGAATTATATGTAAACATAATGGTATGTCGAGATCGAGGGAAGAAAAAAACGGATGTAAACTATCAAAGTTACGTTTTTAGTTCGAAAAAAAAAACAATGATGCAATAAAAGGAAAGCGCTCAAAAATATTTCTCTCGATATATATAATATTTATCAAGTAATTTTAAAGTTTTCTTTGTCATAGTCATTCCTCAAAGTCACATATGTTAATCAAGGATTTGCATACATGTTTTACTTATTTCAAGATCTATCTACAAACATGTCTTGAACACAATAGTATTTCAAAAAAGATTATTTCCTGTAATATCACATCGTAAATTTAAAAAAAAGGTAAAATTATTCCAATTAGTGCTTTTTCTTTTTGAGAATTTACTTTCTATTGATTCTTTGGAAGAAGAGAAATGAGTAGTCGTTGCAACAATTAATGGATTGTCAAAACAAAACTTCAATACATTTTTCAAACGTCATATAACAAAACGTACTATTAATTATTGGAAGGTCGACATTCTCATATGAAAAGACATGTCAAAGTCTCTACATCAAACATTCACATTGTGATTAATTTACTATAATAAAGAACAATCGTTAACATCGATTGCCAGAATACAAGATGATATGACGGGCTCCAACCCCAAAACGTCGGAAACATTAAATCATAACAGATGAATGTCTATTGAAATTGTAGCAACCTTATGATGAAGGTCGTATTGATATTCCAGCGCTCATAAAAGCTGCTGAATCGAGACATTTTCAAGGTTCATCAAAAAGTTAAAGAGCTATCACTATTCTTTGTAGGTTCATATATTTATTGAAATTTGTTTTTTTGTTCTTACAATATATTGATTGTCGCAATAACTAATCATTTCTTTTCTTATAAATAATCATAGAAAAATAGATCATGTAAACCATTGGATGAAAGATTGAAATGAATTAATTTTCAAAATAACATGATCGATTAATATCAAATTATTATTAGCTTTGAAATAATACCATTGAATATGAAACGATATTGATTGGTGAAATGTAATAGAAACCAAATTTAAAACAATATAAAAAGTATTCACTATAGTGGGAGGTTTAATCAATTACTCGTAAACAACTGAGTCTTTGAAAATCAGTTTATCGATACAGAGATGTTATTCAATAAAACTACATCTCTTTCTGAGACTCACGCTATGCTCTAGCAGAGAGAGTTGTAAATTTACCTCTTGTTTTAGAAAACGCTTCGAATATATTCCAAAAGTTTCATATCATAAAATTTTCATGGACTTTTTCAATAATTTTGAGCTGATTGTTAAATTGTATACTTGTTCGACATAGCTATAATTGGTCTGCACGAAAATTTAGTTCTTCAAAAAAAAACAATCAGAAGACAGCAGCCTATCAACTGTAAGTAAATCAATGTTTGCTAGATAATTACATAATTTATACAAGTCTTTGAAACAAAACTTATTTATCCATTTGAACCCTTGAAAAAAAATAGAAATACTGTTGTATATCCATTAACTTTTTATCTCAAGAAAAGTGATTTTACAAATAGGATTGGCGTGTGTCGTCAATATATTGACCGATGAAAAAGAAAATTTATCGGTTTTCATTATTCTTATCATTATCAAATAGACCTTTTTTGTACACTATAGTATGAACTATTCAATTTTTTTTTGAGATGTTACTCAAGTTGAATGGATAAACTGTGCGAAGATAATGCTACAAAAATAATATCATCTGGCATTTTGCTAAGGCTTTAGTCCATTCTTTCCGTTTGCATGTCGATAAAAAAAAAACCCGATTAAGTTCTTGTTTTGATTCAATTTGATGTTTATGTAAAGATCAGTAACTCACAAATGAAAAAAAATCTTCTTCTTAGATAATATGTAGAGTGGCATGCACTCTTGTAATAGAACACTTTCGTAAAATTAACAATATTTGTATTTAGTATTCCATGTTATATAAAACTTTTATGAATTAAAATTTTCAATAATATTTTGATGATAACGTTTTCTGCTCTTTATAGTTATTTGTACTCATTGAGATTTCATTCACATCATCCATGTACGAAGCTTTTTCCTCTCATTTTCGATTAGTCTTCTATCACAATGGTTTTAGATCGATGTAAGCTTATTCAGGGGTACAGCAAACATGATTCGCTTGGACGATGTTTTTGACTTAACTATGTTAATGCTTCATATTTCCTTTTTAAGTTCTCTAAGCGTCAATCTTTTTATTGATAAGGCCAAACAATATGTAATTATTTTCTAATCGTTTCCTAGCAAAGCTACGAAATAGTTCATCCAGTCATATTTTTACTGTTTCTTGTGTTATTTATACGTGTAAACAATCATATTTTAGTTTATGTCAGGTTTAACAGTTGTATCTGTGAGAGCTTTCATGCGTAATTTATATAGTATGTCGTCGATAAATTTTTTTTCCTAATCCTTGTGACTGAATTATTAAAACGACAAATATGATGTCTGCCAGATCGTAGAAACATGTTGTATAATGATAATTAGACAAAGAAACCATGTTTGTTAAATGGAGAAAGTCGTCAAGTACAACGTGAGAAATACTAATTATTAGGGACATTACGGATGCTAGAAGATGTTAATAGTTTTTGTCGATTTATTGCCAGTGTGTCTAGGTCTTAATTGCAGTTAATATATATATTTTGGATTCTGTTAACTACGTCAAAATAACACTAGAGCAAAAATGTACTATGAAGCAATTAAGTTGCTGATAGAAACTAATTTTAATGATAATCAATGAGATTTTTTCATATGACTATATATGGAAAACACATCATACTCTTCGACAATAGAAGTATACTATAGCCATAAAACACATAATAATGTTTAAAACTCGAAATTTTCCAAAAAGATGAACATAAAAAAATACATGAAAGAATTTTTAGGTTATCTTCAATACATTGTTCACATTAAATATGAAGATCGCTTAAAGTGGCAAAGTTCAAGTGTTTTTTATACAAATATTTAAATGTGCTTCATCATTTTCTATGATCAATTTGATCTTTTACAATTCAAACAACAAAGTGAACTTATTGAAATCATATTCGATTTCGAATAAAATGTACAAATACTATAAAAACAAAGATAAATGTCTCCTGGTCGTAAATAAGTTTACTCTAAGATTATAGCATACATATTTGATTTACTAGAATGTCAATTTCC